TTTGAAAACTTTACTGTGCCTACACTTGCTTTAAGTATAACTAAATGGCCAGAGAGGTAAGAAAAATTCTCTGTGTGTAATGTCAGCTCTATCCTGGCTGGAAAATGATGTCCAACTGTAATAAGTAAAAATACAAGTGAAAGCCCCAGCAAACTTCCAAGGGCAATCTCCTTATCTAAGAACTGTAAGGCTACAATTTTATGGTAGAAAAATCTGTATTTTTGTAGAGAAATAGGTGTTTGTCACTGTGAAGCTGGAAAAAAAAAAGAGATAAAATTCAAAGACCTTCTCAAGAAAATCAGCAAAATAATCTGTGTTTTTAAAACTTCCTTGCAAAGACAAACTTGATAAGAATGAACTATATTAGAACTCCAACAGAACCGTCTGCCAGCAGGAAGACATGACTTGCCAATACTATACCCATTCCTGAACAGTAGTGTGGTGCTGCCCCTTGTGTTCAAAGGGCTTTTCCAGCTATTCTTTCCTCTTGCCCTCAGAAATGCTGCCAATGTAATGAAACACATTACACAGCATTTTGCAACTTTCTTACATTTTCATAAAATTTAGACATAAATACAACCTGTAGCTTAAATCTAATACTAACAAGAGTTTTCAAAATGAATATTCTCCTGCAAAGGGCATCCAGCCTACAGTGCTCTGCAGTATAAACACTTGTTCAGATACCCAGAACATTTCTTAAAGTTTGGGAAGTTCCTTCACACAGTCAATTCCAATGTCACAAACTCACAACTGTGTAAATTGGTACCAGTCCTCCAAATACTCTACAAAATGCTTTCAGTCCAGAAGTAATACACCTTGACAATTACTAATATAGGAATATTTGCTGCGCAAAGGCCAAGCAGTCAATTCAAACCAGGTGCAGTAAACTAGGGTAGTACTTCTACCTTTCACTTTTTATAGCAACTATAATTGAAGTTGCTTGTCTTGCTAATATTTATTAAACATGCTTTAATATTTATGTTATTTTGATTAGCAGAAAGTTTCCTTATGGATTTATGGTCATTAATTCATAATAATATGAGTGCTGTATTAGTACACCGATTCAGTTTAATTTCCACTTCCATTCAAGTGTTACTCAAATTCAAAATATTGCCAAGATAAGATACTGCTAATAAACACCTCAAGAAGGCACATATAGGCTATATACAGCTGCACTGGCAATTTGGCTTGCTGAAAAATAAAAGATCCAGAAGATTTGTTCTTATTTTGCACAAGTTTCAGCACAAGACCACACTAAGAATTTTGATTATGGAAAAACATAAGAATATGAGACCAAAATCTTACACTAAGTATGATGTGGGCTTTTATCAAAGCACAGTCATGTAGCATTTCATTAAGAGAAATGGAGCTGAAGTTACTACAAGCAATGCATATTTCAAGGATTAGAATGCACTTTACAACATGCTGCAAACATGAAAAATGCTGCAAGTACTTAGTTTTTATCATTATCAGTGGAACCTTTCCAGCTGAGGTTTCCTGTATCAACACCACATTCCTTCATGAAGGGAACTGTAACAGGTCAAGCCTAAGGAAAAACAGCTCAGACCCAAAAGTTTATCTGTTCCCTTAAAAACCACAGATGACCAGCCAGCTGTAAAAGAGGCAGATTCCCAAATCCTGACTGTCTCAACACTCAAGGTGCATCTCTTGTCTCCTGACCAAGGTTTGTGCAAACCTGCATCTCATCAGTTTGGATTATTTAAAGAGACAAACAAAAGCTGTGAAATATTAAAACCCTTTTATTGAAGAGTACTGTAGTTGTGTGATGTTAAAACCAGTAAAATTGATAACAAAGGCTCAGAGCTGCCAAGAAAAACAGAATAATCTTTCTTAGCCGGACAAGATGACTGGCAGTTTCCAGCCACAATATAAAACTGAGGAGAAAGCACTACAGAAGAATGAGATATCCTGTAAGTGAAAACAAGGCTTTAATCAGAGCACACACGTCTACTATTGCTTTTGAACTCCACTGTTAGGTTTTCAGTTCAAAACCCGAGAGACAGAATGGCATAAAGAAAACTTCAAAACACTTAATATTAGCCAATCTTCAAAGGGGCTTTCATAAATCTTAAATTTCAGCAGCAGCAGTACATTTCAGTGGAAATTCCCCTACCACTAACATACTAACATTACTAATAGTAATAGAAACTCACAAATGAAATCATATTAGCATAGCTGGGAAATGGCTGTTATGACAATCCCAGCTATGCTAATAACACCTTCCAGACTTCACCTCAAAACTTCTTAAAACTTTCTATTTCACACTTATTTGTGACAATGCATTTCTCACAACACCCTTCTCTACAGGAAAGACAAAACAACTACTGTGTAAACAACAAAATTCTGTTGTTTACACAGTAAACACACACCCACAAAAATCTTTGCAAACAGAGTTGAAAATGAGTTGTTCCTTCAGTTAGCCAGGCTATTAAAAAATCAAACCCAATAATAAGCAGAGAGGACTAAGCTGGAGATTAATGTTCCTCCATGCTTTTCAGCATTATAAAGCTACTTTTATAACACTCCAGCAAACTGTACAGTGACTGACATGAACAAAATGACAGTAATCTGTCACTACTTCACATTTCCCACTAGGTTGATTCAAATAGTTATTTATGAACCTTACACTTCAATGGTCACTTTGATGACTAAACCATAAATTAGAATGCAAAGAGAATATAAATTTGATTTTAGAGTAACATCAAATGGTCAGCAAAGAGGGATATTATTTAATTTCTACTGACACACTAGAAAAAAGTCAGCAATACCAAGATGAACCACACCATAATAAACCCCAAACTTAGCAAAAAATTGTATGCTAGATCTCATGTTTGCTTCAGTGCTTCTGCATTTAAAAATAAAAGCACTTTATATTATGCTTGGTTAGTTTTAAATATAAAGTCTTAATAATGTCAGATGACTTCATTTCTTAGGTCTTCAATTAAACAAAGAGGGAGAATGAACTTTTTCGACCGAGCATGATGAAATTTGACACCAAATAAATATTAATATGAACTTAGATGCTCAGGTTTTTAATAGTCCTGATGAAAAATTTTTAAGACAGTGTTGCTATTTTTACATTTATCTCTTGCTTTACAGATGGGAGTGAGATGACACCAAAACACAACAGAAGTTCTGCAAAGCACAACAGTTCACAATTTTTTAGGAAAAAAAAAATCTTTAGTACCCAAACAATCAACTCTTGCAGGGATGCATGTCAAAAAATTATCTTGGTAAAATAATTTTCTTCTATCTGATTATTTTTTGTTAAAAAGTTCCACTGCTTATTATGTTACTGTATAATAACATTTATTATCCATTACTCTTGAAAACATGTAAGATAAATCCTTCCAGAAGTGAATGCAGCATGATTGTACTTTCTCTGGAAAATGTCTAGAAGTGCAACATTAAAGAGATATTTCAACTTAAGTTTCACTGTCTTAGCAGTGTTAAAAATGGAAAGTTGTGTCAGTGTTTTAAATACTCCTTGCTTTTCAAGTATATTTTCCCTGAAATTCTTACATGGAATGACAGTGATCCGATTTAAAACCAACTTCAGCAATTTGGCTTTTAATATCGGAGAACGCCCTTAAATAGCTGATATTTGAAACAAACAAGCAAAACCCTCCAGGCTTAGCAATAACTGAGGTCATTCTGAATTATTCTGGTATATCCTAGTGACACAGTAATAAATGCCTAACAGAAAGATGCTGACTGATGCTGAGGGAAAATCTTTAGGCTAAAAGAAAGCTTAAAAAAAGGCACAAGGCAAGACTCCTACCCTAGACAAAGTCCAGCCTGTAAAGTCTGTTTTAGAGAAATAATATCTTTTTTTTAGGATCTACAGAAACAAGGTAATCTGAGTTTACACAGGACTTAGAGAGGAAAGAGTTTTATTCTAAAATCTGACCCAGACCTATTAGGACTCAGATTAGTAGAATCATGTTTTGCTGGGAAAAAAAATTGGAAAGTTTTTATTTAGCAAGACTTTATCTTCAGCAAGAATTAGAAGAGCTGAAAATGCCAATTATCACCTACAGATCTGAGAAAAAACACCCCAGCATTCAAATGTAATTGCATTGGAACAATCCAATCCAAATTGCTTCTTTGAGAAACACTTAAATAAAAAAATTAGCAGTGTTTGAGTTAAAAAAAGATAGCAAAACTATGGTAGCACAAAACAACACCCTGGGAGATGAAAATAAAAAAAAAAAATCTTGTACCTAAGCATCCATACTTAACTGTCAAATCCAAGGGCCCAGCTCCCTACTAAAATAAGAACCCAGCTAAGTGACCTGCTGGTTGTTTAAAGAGCCATATTAAAGCAAACCATGGAGGAGCAGGTGCACATGTTCATTCAGTGTTTAATAAAAGTACTAACTGAGCTCTGACTGGTGTCAGCAAGCACAGATTTTGCAAGGAGGAGCAGCTTAAGCACTGTAAGTTCTCACAGAGAGTTCAAGCATAGAAACTTGCTTCTTCCAATTTTTAGTGGTCACTTTAGAGAGACAGTGAGTATGATCGAGAAATTTTAAAAGTATCTGAAGTTTCAACCAAGTCTACTTCATTTCTTAGCCACATGGTACCTAGTGAAAGGAACAGAGATGCTATAAATGCTACTCAGACAAGGTTGAAGAAAAATATTGCCAGGGACTCAAATTTTCCAAAGAAGAACTTATCACCCTGTTTGGACACATTTAGCCAGTATTTACTTAATTCACTTCAGGATTTTCTTGTTCTGTTACTATTCTAACACTGTATCTAGAGATGGGAAAAAACAAACACAGAAGAAAATGAGACTATTTTGAGTCAGTCAAAGTCACCCCTCTGAACCTATGATGAAAGACAAATTCAGACAAAAACTGATGTTTATCAAGAGATGTCTTTAGCAAGGAAATATTTTTTTCCATCTCTAGTGGCATAAGACAGTTGAATGAGTAGTGAACATCTCCCATAAAAAATTAGAGAAACTAACATACCTGCCGTTGAATAATCTGTAGGTTTGCTTTGGCTTTGTTCAGTAGTTCTTCTATTTTTTCAGAGTCTGTTATGTTCTTGTTTTCTCTAAAGGCATCTTTTATCCTTCTGATGGCGTATGTTCTAAACACAAACAATAAGAGGACACGTAATTCATAGATGTGCCATGATTTATATAATTTCAACATTCTTTAAAACATGCTGATACAAAAAATAAAATGCACACCTCCCATATTTACTTATTTATTTAGCTCAATTTTAGACACATATAATTTTATTCAGGGTTTTGTTTTGCCCGAGTTGAAGTAGCGACCAGATCCTATAATTTTAAAAAAAGAGGTTCTGTTAGATGTTACTGTGGAAAAATGTCATATTTCAAGTTTCAGTCCAGTCCTAACTGCTTGTTTGTGCTGAAGCCACACTGCTGGATACCCAGCATGGAATACTGCAAAACTCAAGAACATTACAAAAAGGCTAAGGACCAGAAAATCATTCCCCAGATTATTTTGAATCAGTGTGACTATTCTTAACCTGCATATCCAAAAGGTCATTGTAACAATATGCATTTCTACTAGATGCAGTGTTGTAATCTAGTAGTCAACAAAAGCAGATTGGTGGACCAATTAACACAAAAAGGGCTCCTTCCCTGTCACCCTTTTCCTCTCCTGACAAAGTGTATTTCACCCCTCAGTCCAACACCTCCTCATCCATTTCCCCACTAAGAAGCAATAAGAGAACATGATTTCTGCAAGCTGGAAGAGGTTATGATCTCTGCTTGCAAAGAGGAAGGTCCAAAGCTGCAGCTTTCCCCAAATCCTGCCCTTTCTTTTCAACACAGTAAAGAACTTACATAGAGTGTGAGGTGTACTGTCATCCTGCCTTCCCTCCCCCCCAGTTAGGGTCAATTTCCATATGAAAACAGAGTTTTCAGATGGAGCAGTGGATACTTGTATTACATGGGTCTTTGGGAGGTACTGGAAAAATGCAGTAAACTGATCTTGCTCATCTATCTTCCTTGTGTTCTTCTGTACCACCACATCACATCAGTATCACTTCTGCTACAGAAAGCAAAACCCTATGCGTGGCACTGGAAGGAAACAAAAGGCTGCACAAAATTCCCCCACAATTAGTTTAATATTTCAACAACCCTTTCCAATCTTGTATAAAAGTGGAACACGAAAGACAAAATCGTCTGAAACACTATCACAGAAAATCCAAGGACAAGACTGAAAAATAAAATTATTGGGGGAGTAGAATGAGGAGAGAGGAAGAAGAGGAAAGATGAATAGCCAGTGGCACTCCATTCCATTAGATGGTGCTATCCAGCTCCTAATGCAGCTTTCAGCAGCCAAGCAGCGTGTTTTGTCTTCGAGCTCATAAATAAAACATTTCAATCACAGGACTCAGGACGGCTGTGGAGTGCCACTCTGCCACCGCACTCCGGCAGATGGTGCCTGCTTTTAATTAGGGCCTGCTCACCTCTAATGTGACACTGGGGTGCGTCAGGGAGTGAGCCAGTGTGTGTTTGGATGTGTGAAGTTAATAGAATGTATTAAATATGGAAGCTCAATCTCATCTGCAGCTGTTGTCCTAGCAAGACATGAAGGGGAAGCTGATTATTTCTTCTAGAAAAGAAACAACCCCCAGTCATTACTATATAGTATAATTCTGTTGCTTGATAATGGAGAGATTTGAAATCACCCAAATACATATGTAGGGTTAAACTGTGCAAAACATGTAATATTTTCTGAAAGAAAGGACAGGTTTCCAGGAGATACAACAACAAATATATATATATTTAGCTTAAAAGAAAAAACAACAACAACAGCATGTATCTATTAGTGGGTACAAGTCTTTGAAAATGCAATATAAATGAGTAAATGCTACCTACATAAAAAAGATAGATGGGACAAAACCAAATGTTGTTCAAGTATTAACACCCACAGACTGAAGGTGGTTTTTTGTTTTGTTTTGTTTTGTACATATGGTGTGTTAATTGTTCCATTTTCTCTCTCTTCCTCTAATTATACCCAACAATTGTTTAGAAAAAAATGTACATAGAAAACAGACCAATTTTTATCTATAATCACAAAGTTGCACTGGTTTTGCCTTCTATTTTTTTACCTTCTAATTTTTTAATCTCTATGAGTTTTAACACCCAAAGGAAGTTACTTTACACAGGCTTTAACACAATCTTAATTCTACAGCTAAATCCATACCTCTAAACACACTTCAAAGACTAGCTCTATAGCCTGGCACTACTCTTTACCAAAGTTACAGAGAGATTTAATGTATCACTTATAAGAAGGATGAGCTCAATTCAAAGCTCAAACCCAATATTATAATAACTGCTAAAATATCCTTTCTTCCCCATTGAGAAGTGTCAGGGAAATATTTTACCAACATTCAAATTCTCTAAAATTATGTAAAAAGTGTTAAGCCAAGATATAAACATACAGGAAGGTTTTTTTTTTGTATGTTTGTGTTTTTTTCTTTTAAACAACAGCTTTTTCCGTGCAACAACAGTTGTGAGCAGTGTCAATTCAGCACCTCGACACTCTACATTTCAACAGTTTCTGAACTGAGAATGCATTAAAAGCTAGAACTACCATAAGAAATGCAATATTGCTTCAAGTTTATGAAAATCTAAGCCCTTCTGAAAGCACAGTAGTGTGTGTAAGCAACAATGTTTGAGCAAAACCTGTTCATTCAGACTTGCATCTGTTGGGGTTTTTTCACAGAGCACTGCTCAGAGACCCTCTGGCCGATGAAGACTGGTCTGCTGATCAGCTGTTCTAATGGAGTGCATTTTCAGCTCCATGAATGTAACACACCAAACCCAAGCCTGTGACATTTGAAGGCACACCTAGAAATGCCAGTGGCTGAGAATACATGGTTGTCTTCATAGAACTTTACACTGTCCTAAAAGCAGCACTATCTGCAGACAGTGTGAGAGCTGAAAAGAATACTGGCAAGTGAAACGACGGCTGTACCTTATGGATGATTATTTACCCAGAGGGACACAAAGAAACTGCAACAAGTTTAAGCCAAAGTGGAGAAGAGATATTGCAATTTCACCGCCCTGGCAGACACAAACCCTCCCTCTGTCCCCTTTAGACCAGCACAGTCAGTCTGATATTTGGCCCCAGCTGAGCCAGTCCAACCTGGGAAATAGAAGGCCACCTATTACAAGAGTTAACTTCATTTTCAGTTGTTTTGGGCTTTTTTTGCAGATTAGTAACTTCATCAGCTATCCATGGAACTGGAGCAACATCACTGAGGAGGTGGGAACACAGCAGTACTGATTTTGATGGACAGAGTTTGCAATTGATCCCATTATGAAGGCCAAGCAAGTCACACAAATAAAGAGGACCTTTCGGTGAGAAGGTACCAAGTTAACTCTCCAGAGAAACAGAATAGGAAAGCAGTTTTGGATACAGTACACTCAAGGAGCTCCCATGGAACTGTGGGAAAAGCCTAGTTCCTAGTGCAGTAGTATTCATTAAGAAACATCATTTAAATTAAATCTTAAACTACCTTTCACCATTCATTATTTTTCTCACCCATTTTTTGAAAACAGATATTAAAAAATGGCTGAAAGACACAACAAGATATTTTGCTTTTATCATCCAAGTGCACTAAAATTTGAACAGAGAATATCTTTCACTTTATCTCCTGCAAAGACTCCTCCAGTGACTTGTGACAACAGGACCCAAGCAAGAGTGTACAGTTGACTATATTCACTCAGCTCTCATACATATGCACACTCAAAACACCTCTTGTGATCCCTACCTACGTGCATCTGTCACACAATTAATTCCCAATTAAACCAAAATGATGTCCTCGATGGGCAGTAGACTCGGTGTGATGGCTGCAGACCAAAGCCACTGCAGGTGGATGGCGACACAAGGCGACAGATGCCCATCAGCAGAAAGCAGGGGTCGTTGGGCATTAATATGAGAACAAGGCCAGGGCAAAGCACTACTACAGACTCTCAGGCACTGGGCACTGCCTGCTCATGTTATGAGACTACAGTGCTACCAAATAATAGTAAAAACTAAAGAGAAAGCAGTCTTTGGCCCAGTATCCTTTAAAGAGTTCCTCTCTTCCCTGAAGTACAATCAAAAGACTAATGTGTCCTCATGAAAATGAAGTCTACAAGAAGTAAATCTGAAACAACAACTACTAATGAAAAATGAAATCACAATCCAGGTACTTCAGAAAATAATAACTGCTTGAGGACTTATATATTTTATTTCAAAATGTTTACTTATCTCACACCTGACCAAAAAACCAAAAAATCTTTGTGCTCCGCTAAATGAAAAGAAGCTGAAATGTCACACAAACATACTTGCTTAAGTACACAGTTCTGAGCTTTCAAAATAAACCTGCAATGTTTTTCTCAGCACCACTTTGCATTCACCAGTATCACAACATGCTAAAAGTTTAAGTCACCTTTCCAAGACATCTTTACAAACATGTTGACATCTTGGCTTTGTGCCTGTCAACAAGTGCAACTTATTAATAGGTCACATTATAGTCACAGGCACCACACTGTGGAACACAATGGCTATTACATTATTATTGTTGGCCATTGAGCACACACATGAAGACAGAAGAGGACATACAGTTGTGGTACACAATCTGTGCAAGCAAAACAGATCACGAGGGAAGGGGCCACCAGGTTAGAATATTCATATTCAAGGCTTTTGAAAAAGGTCTAGAGTAAAATGCATTTTTCCTTATTAGCTTCAGTTATATTCAATAAATTAAGGCAAGTGAAAAGTGGCCAAGCTCTAGGAAGCCCACTGGGGTTAACAGCTCTGGAATGAAGAATATGATGCTTTTATTTAAAGACACAATGTGCAAAAGTGAAATGCTCATTTACAATAGAGTAGCATTACATCAAGTGAGGAACTCTTTTCATAAAATGTCTGTTTGCTTTAACCAAACTGTATTTTCTTACCACTGCTGCCTTCCAACTAACATCTATTAACTTATGGTAGCAACAGGATGAATTTTCAGAATTTCCCATTATTACTAGCAAAACATGCACTAGATGAGATCTGCCCAACTATATTTTCAGCATTACATATCATTTAAAAAGGGAAAGTTTTTAATCA